CCGATGACATCGATATAATGGGTCGAACATTGCGAGCGGTAACAGCCACCTTTGAACAAATTGAAAAGGAGTCTGCCAAAGTGGGTCTGGCAGTAAACGGCGAGAAGACCAAGCTGATGGTATCAACGCGCAAGACGTCCAGTAGACTCGGACCAACTGTGGAACTTGAGAACTACAGCTTCGAGGTAGTTAAAGACTTTATATACCTTGGTACCGCCATAAATAAAACGAATGATATCAGTTTTGAAATTCGGAGAAGGATTGTGATGGCCAACAGATGCTACTATGGTCTAAGTAAGCAGTTTAGAAACAAGGCCACCTCTCGCCAGACCAAACTCACACTTTACAAGACGCTGATACTACCCGTGCTATTATATGGATCAGAAGCATGGGTACTTGCGCAAGCAGATGAGGCAGCTCTTGGGGTGTTTGAGAGAAAAATTCTCCGAAAGATCTACGGGCCGATCTGCGTCGACGGTGAATATCGGCGTCGAATGAACCACGAGCTCTACAATTTATACGCAGACATCGACATAGTCAGTCGTATTGAGCTGCAGCGACTACGGTGGCTAGGCCATGTTGTGCGGATGAATGAAGAAGCCCCAGCTCAAAAGGCATATAAAAATGAGCCTACGGATGGTTCCCGTAGAAGGGGAAGGCCACGAATTAGATGGAAAGACCAAGTAGAAAACAACATCCTGGAACGTGGTCTTCCAAATTGGTGGACTTGCGCACAAGACCGACGCGCTTGGAAATCTTTTTTAAGCTCGGCTTATGGAACAACCGTTCTGTAACAAGCCAGCTAAGAAGAAGAAGAAGACCCAATCATCACTTCAATGTATTTGATAAAATTGTCATCGATATGTTGATGACTTATAATCTCATCATGAATAATATAATTGTATTTCCTCTATAATATTTAAATATATATTTACATTGTTGTGATGAGAAATGATAAAAGCAATTGTAAAATTTCTTACACCGTTTGTCACGTCACTTGCCAAAAAATAACACTCAGTTTTGGGTTTGGATCCGACATTTTTGAGAGGTCAAGGATATGACGGCGCGTCTAACATGTCAGGCAATACCAATGGATTGTTGACCATTAAATCAAAAATTTAGAGTTCAAAAACGTCTCATAGTCAGCGCCCCATAAGTTGCTAGCGAGCGTCTTGAGGACCGTTTTTTCCTACTTCTCAACTTATCGCAAATAACAGCGATGACGATTTGAAAAGACTGCCGAGCGTTACATCCAGTTCCTTGGGGTAGTTGTGGTCAGAATCTGTTCCCAATTGATCATTATGTTAACACATTACGATTTCAATTCCGGCCGGTGGTTGGGGAACATTAGAAATGTAGAACAGTGCTTCATTTTAAAATTAGGTCAACTACCCCTTTTATCGAAAGCTAATAATAAAATTTTCGTTTTGTCATCAATAACTTCATCTGCAATGCTCTTGGCGGTCAGAACAATAACAAGTGAAAAAGCGTTAAGTTCGGCCGGGCCGAACTTTGGATACCCTCCACCATAGATATACTGACAGGTACTAGAAATGAAAATATAGGGAACATACCAAAAAGTGGAATATGCAAACCATAATACAAATTTCAGAAAATGTTAATGGATAAATATACCCTCAGCCTTTGGCTAATGAGGGTGTATACACATTAACACGGTGAGAATGTGCCTTTTCGAAATATTGGTTCTAGACCCCATCCGTTTCAGAAAATTTAGATTTCATCCAAACTTTGTCCATCTTATTATTTCTTCCAAACATAGTTCAAATTCGAAGATGGGGAATATCGGTTCACTCATTCTGGAACCTCCACACAGGGGCTAGATCTAAATACGGCTATAGTTCATTATCGAACCTTACGTTCTAATTTTTATCTAGCTATCCTCCGCAGGTGAAATGATTTCAACAGAGTCTTAGAACCAAATTCAAATCGCGGACCAAATCAGATAACTATTTTAATATAAAAAAGGGGGTTATATGGGGACTACCCCAAAATGGGGCGAATATTAATAATTTTTGGTAGGGAGATTTGTTACCATATACGACTACAAAATACCAAATTGCAGCGAATTCAGTTGAAAAACGCGCTCAAGAACCCCAAAATACCGAAAATTGGGGGTACCCTTATATGGGGGCTATCCGAAAATATGGACCTATATTCATAATTTTTTGTGGAGATATTTTGTACCTATTAAGAACTCAAAATACTAAATTACAGCTAATTTGGCGGAAAAATACGAGCAAATCCCCCAAAATACTGCGAATTAGGAGGTACCGTTATATGGGGGCTACCAGAAAAAGTGGACCTATATTTATAATTTTTTGTGGTGATATTAAGTACCCTATAAGAACCCAATGTAGCAAAATTCAGCGAATTCGGTTGAAAACGCGCTCAAGAACCCCAAAATACCGAAAATTTGGGGGTACCCTTATATGGGAGCTATGCCTAAACGTGGACCGATAAAGCCCATCTCCGAACTTGACCTGCCTGCAGACAAAAGACGACTCTATGCAAAATGTTGGCGATCTATCTCCATTCGTTTAGACGCTAGAGTGATTACAACAGACAGACGGACATGGCTATATCGTCATAGAATTTTACGCTGATCAAGAATATATATACTTTATAGGGTCGGAAATGATTATTTCGATGTGTTACAAACGGAAAAACAAAACTAATATACCCTCCATACTATGGTGGAGGGTATAAAAAAGGGATTAATGAATGATTGGAATGGTACTGAAATGGTCTCGGGGTTACGTCGGGACATTCGTATGTACAAATGTACTATTATTATGATTTTTCCATCCCTGATAAGGATATGATCCTGTAAGAATGCTTTGCGCTTTCTATATTGGCACACCCTTTTTATACCCATTTCATCACACTGTGGTACAAGGTATAATGTCTTTGTGCATATGTTTGTAACAGACAAAAGGAAACGAGATAGACACATGTTTCCTTTTGAGAATATGCATGTCCGTCCGTCTGTCTGTCCACGTTAAATTGTAAACAAAGTACAGGTCGCATTTATAATGTTAAGTAAATGGTGCACCAAAGACACAAATTTAGGCCGGTTGACACAAAATTTTGCACATGGTACTGAAGTGTGGAAAGTTTTGTTGAAATCGGTTCAGATTTGGATAGAGCTCCCATATACAGTGGTGGTCACAGAATTAAAACATTTACTGTGGTAAACATTTTTTGATCCGCCTTCGATTCGTTTGAAGTATTTTTGAAAATTTTTTAATTCAGAACACTTCGATATACAGCACTTAAGAGATTTAGTGTGAAAAAAGAAACTTTTTGCATGCAATTTCTCCATAAATAACGGTTTTTATGAAAATACATCGACTTTGAAGTGGCCATATAATTAAAACATTGTGTGGAATTTTTTACTTTACTGCATTTTTTGAAAATAGTTTTAGAAAATCTCTTTAATTTAGTTAAATTATGTAAACTAAGCATCATACCATCATCACACCATCAAACATACTGCTGTGTGCTTGAAACTTTTACTCGTCAACCTAGGCGTTGATCTCTGTTCGTTCTGTTCTGACAGATATATTTTATGATAAATTGATTTGGTATAATAAATACCAATATCAATCGATTTTTTCTCACATACTACAAAAATATTCCGGCCTTCTTCAGTAAAGGCTATTGAAATTGCATCGTTACTTTAGGTTAATTCCCATTTTTTGAGTTTTTATTTCAAATATTTATTTATTTTGAGGATTATTTATTGTTTTCAACTAATTCTAGCAATTTCTGGTGCATTCGGATATTTATTTTCTATAATAAGCGTGATTTTCTGAATGTAAGGTGTACTGTACAAATGGTTGTCAATTTTTATAGATTTTACAGATTTTTTCAAAAAATTTTATCTGGAAATGATTTTATCGGTGCTTATTTTACATAATTTAACTAAATTAAAGAGATTTTCTAAAAATGTTTTCAAAAATTGCAGTAAAGTAAAAAATCCCACACAATGTTTTAATTATATGGCCACTTCAAAGTCGATGTATTTTCATAAAAAACGTTATTTATGGAAAAATTGCACGCAAAAAGTTTCTTTTTTCACACAAAATCTCTTAAGTGCAGTATATCGAAGTGTTCTGAATTAAAAAATTTTCAAAAATACTTCAAACGAATCGAAGGCGGATCAAAAAATGTTTACCACAGTAAATGTTTTAATTCTGTGACCACCACTGTATATTTTCATCCGATTTTAAGTAAATGATGCACCCAAATGTGGCCGATATATATAAAACATACTGAAATTAGTACAACCAAACCTGTGACAAGTTTCGATGAAATCGGGTTTGATTTCGATATTTTGCTTCAAAATTATTTACTTGATTTTGTCCCATTGTAAGAAGCAACTCTATATTTGACCAAATTAAAATTTTCATTTTAATGGTACTTCAAAAATGCGACGTCTGTTAGGATTCCATCTGTTGAATATACCCAAAGTGGTGAAGTGTATCATATAGTCGGCCACGACCGACTTTACTACTTTCCTTACTGTTATAAAATAATAAACATCATTTATCTACAAAATTGCATTTTTCTTTGAATGTCTGTCTTTACATAGCGACATCTACGATTGAACGTTGAACATTAAACACATGAATTTACCGAAGACGCTTTTATTTTCAAATATATTCCCCAATTTAATATTGTTATCACAGAAACTCTCCTATGAATGTCGATAACACAGTTTGTACTAAGGTTGTTAAATCACACAATTAAAATGTTACCAATTCCCCTTAACTACCATCTACCGGTGAACAGTTATAACATTGTCAATTAATATGTGTTGGCAACACTAATCAACTGTACCATTTATTTAAGATGTGGCATTACCGAAACCTTTTCTTAGTTGTCAATCGAACAAGTTCAGGAAATGTTTATTTGCCACTCTGCATAAACGGATTAATGGGAAAATAAAATTTAGCAGCAAAAATAGTGCATAAATACAAAATCTACAACAAAAATGCTCAAATTTAGTGTTCAATTAACTGTGATAATAATTTTGTTAAGTTTATTTAATTCCTCGGATGGTAAGTGCGAAGAAAATCCTTAAAAAAAACTACGAAATCTGAAAACGTTGTGGAAAGTGGTCAACAAGTAATCGAGTTCGTGTCTTATTGAAGTCTTTTGTTATGTTTCATAGCCAACTACTAAACAGACATTTAGGTATGTATGTACGTACTTACCATTTCATACAAATGTACATACATACAAATATGTTTGTAAAAATGAAAGAAAAGTGAATTGTTGTGTGGTATTGTAGGTGCTGTACGCACTGTTTGTTGGCTAAATGAAATATTTGGAACGGTGGTACCAGGTTGTGTTTTTAGTTGTTGTTATTTGTGTGTTTTTGGAAGATAATATAACTAACTGTTATGGGTTTATTTTATTCGTCATTCCGCTGACTTTTCTTTGTATAGCTGTGAGTAACGAAAAGAAGAAAAATAATTAGTAAGTCGTTATTGTGTCAGTCCCAAGAGTAACCTCAATGTCGTCGAATGATTAACTTCTCATTTCCTCTGCACTGTCTGTGTGGAAAGTCCCACTAAGCAAAAGAACCCAAGAGTGTAAACCGTGTCACATACACTCCTATACAAATTTGTTGTTTTTTTAATAAAGGTGTGATACTTGTTTTTAAATGCTATCATATTATGATTCTGCAAATAACCAGTCACATTGAAAATGTCAAAGAATCTTGTATTGGAATTTGACAATGAAAACAGAATATTATAAAAGATAAAAAATCTTTTTATGATTTAATTTATTTGGGTAGAATTCATATCAACAGGGATATTAAGTTATTCAGTGTATTTCCTAGACGATTAGAACTTTAAATGGAACAAGTCAAATTCATTCTTCCGGGCATATGAACCTCCAAACTACAGCTGGGCCCTTGTATTCCCCCTACTTTTTAAAATTCCCATAGTCAATTTCAATTTAAAGGGGCTGACGTCATGATTACAAAAATTTAATTATATTATCAAAGTAGTCCATGATATAAGCCTACAATGTTAGTATGTCTACCCGATCGACCGTATATTGTGTCCATACAACCAAGCTTGGTTTATATCGGGCTTTAAATGTAAGTAATAATACAAAATTATGGAACACATTCCAAAATTTAGCATAGAGTATTTTATGTGCAAGCTGATCAAGTTCGAAGATTGGCTTTATCCGTCCAAGTTAGGGTATAGCTCCCATATCAGGGTACCCCCCAAATTTCGGTATTTTGAGGTTCTTGAGCGCGTTTTTCAACCGAATTCACTGAAATCTGGTATTTTGTAGTCTGTTGTAATTATTTCAACTGCGGACGATGATACCTACCGATTTTCGGTATTTTTATTATTTAGCTTAAAGAAATATATTCTGATGCAAAAATGTTAATTTCGAAATAGAGCTATATCTGTTCTCAATAAGGCCGAAATAAAACATTTGTATATTGGTGATGGCCTTATATAACTGTGACCTCTTAATTGCAGTATTTTGGAGATGTTCCATCCAACCATGCGTCGTCAATATCGAACCACTTTCTGGGGTTTTCAGGAAAAATATCCATTAAAAATTACTGAAATTTATATTTTGTGTACATTGAATTTTCGGTATAGGTCCACTTTTGGGTATGTACCCTATATTTTTGATGCTAGTATCTGTTAGTATACCTATGGTGGAGGGTATACAAATTTCGGTCCGGCCGAACTTAACGCTTTTTTCACTTGTTAAAATTCTCATAGTCAATTACAATTTAAAGCGACTGACGTCGTGATTACAAAAATTTAATTATATTATCAAAGTAGTCCATGATATGGGCCTTCGAATGGTCCTCCAATCTTAGTACCTCTACCCGATCGACCGGATATTGTGTCCATACAACCAAGCTCGGTTTAAATCGAGTTATAAATACAAGTTATAATAAAAATCTAGGGACACACATTCAACTTGATTCCAAGTATAATTCTTATAGCCTCAGCCTTATGGCTAATGAGGGTATATACACTTTGATACGGTGAAAATGTTGCTCATCGAAATATTGGTTTTAGGCCAAATAATTTTTTCGAAAATTTGGAGTCCATTTACAAATGTCCGACTGTCTAGTTGGCTAGGGCACACGATAACTCTCGAAGGGAATAATCGATTTCATTCAAACTTTGCACATCTTATTATATCTTCCAAACTTAGTTCAGGATCGCTCGAAAATATATAAGGGAGCTATATCCAAATTTGAACCGATTTTTACGAAACTTAGCAAACATCATTCTAGACTCAATTCAGTACGCTATGCCAAATTTTGTGCAAATCGAAAAATAATATATATATATAGGGACTTTGGTGCACCATTTACATATAATCGGACGAAAATATATATGGGAGCTATATCTAAATCTGAACCAATTTTCCCCAATTTCAATAGAGTTCGTCTTTGGGCCTAACAACTGAACTGTACCAAATTCCATCCAAATCGGATTATAAATGCGACCTGTACTCTTGTTCCAGTTTCAATTGGAACCCAAAACGCACATACCTAGGAGTTGTATTAGATCATAGAAGACCTCCTTCCCATTTACTTCGGTGCGAATTACTTTCTAAACCCGCCGGACCATAAACCACAAACAACAGTCCGACTTTGTGGATTCTTATTCTCAAGAACAAACATTTAGGGATTCCACGCCTTATGTGTTAGTTAACCAGGACATGATCGTTTTCATGTAGTTTATGTTTGCGATCAGTAAATACACAAGTTATTGATTTTTGGTCATCTCTAAAAAGAGTGTTAACTGACCTTAATTTTAATTAATTTAATTTTAACATTTGTTTTATTTTATTTCAGCATTACTTCGACGTTGTTTTCAATGTCGTTCCCGTGGAGAATTAGGCAGTTGTAAGGATCCTTTCACATTCAATGCCACTGATGTGGAAAAAGAATCTGGTGTTACGGCAATACCATGTGCATCCGGCTGGTGTGGTAAAGTAATCGAAGGCGGTGGTACTTATGCTGTTGATGGTATGTATCTAGAGAAAATGTAATGCCAAAATGCACAGATAGAGCTTGACGACCCTTGCGTTACTAAAAGAATATTTGTTAGTATAGTTCGTCCTGTCCTCGAATATGGTTGCATTTTTTGGAATTCATTTTTATAAATTTCACTCTGATAAAATTGAGTCAGTTCAAGTTCAGTTTCGATTTTTTACCATCTCAATTACTTCCACCTTATGAAAGTAGGTGCTCTTATGTTAATAGCGGTTTTATTATTAAATTGAGGCCTGATTTATTCACCCTTTCTTACGTGAGAATTAATTTTTTTGGTCCTTTCTTGAAGAAGTCGTAACTTTGAACTGGTGTACTGAGGTCTTTATGTGTAATATATAATAACATACGCAATATTATATTCTATACTGGACATGGAAACAGTAGTCCCCGATTTTTAAGCAGCAGTTGTCATTTTTGCCGGCTGATGATCTACGTGTAGCCGATACTCCGGACGCGCTCCCTATGTATAGGAAGGTAGTCGGCAGAGCAGGATTGAGAGGCGTGAGAACGAACAAAAAAATTACTTTTAAGATTATTTCTTTCTTGCATGCATTTAGAATGCATTTGTTTGTTTAGTCATGTGAAAATAAGGTTAAGTTATATACAGTTTACGTTAGTCAGTGTTTCCCTAAATGTTTCAATTTCTAAGTTTATCATTTGTTACAATATTCACATATATTTCCTCTATAGTTCGAACTGTGTCGATTTTTTTTATATTTATAAATTGTAATCGTACGATATCCTTTTATTTTTTTACAGATTACGATCAGGCCATACAACGCATGTGCGTACAACGTGGACCCGATGACAATCAGGATCGATGCGCCAATACAATTTACAATTATAAAAAAGTCTATATGTGTTTTTGTCAAGGTGATTTGTGCAATAGTGGTGAATCGTTAATAAATCATAAGAACACGATGACAATATTAGGACTGGGTGCATTCATATTATTGGCCGTTTATAATCGTTATTTATAACAAAAAATACTATACATTTAAATATAGCTTTTTTATGAAATTGTAAGCCCAATAAAGAAATAAACTGTTTTTAAGAAGTCTAAGACCAACAAATCTATGTTTTCATATATTTATAGATTATATTAAACCACCATCATGAAAATATACTTGAATATAAATTTAATACAACTGTACATACATATAAATAAGATTTGTTTTAGAAATTATTATTCCTTTTAGGTCAAGATTCAAAATTTTGAACATTTTGAAAACAAATATTTTTACATAGCCTGTGAGCCCAGCTTTTAATTATGTATTTGTAAAAGAAAAATTGGAAAACACAAATGTGGATAAATGTCTGGGTGTCGTTTCCACAACAGAGAGGTCCACTATATAAAACGACGACGACGTCTCCTACCTCAGCCCATTGTGTAAATGCAGAGAGTTCATTTTGAAGCGAATTCCATACCCAATTTGAAACATGGTTTACACATCGTAATACTTTACCAAACCTACATTAAATCCGAAGATGGGGTCTTTAGAAAAACCTCTTCTGGCATTTTGAGGCACGACTGGATTCCCCATAAATTCTTTTAATTATTCACATTGGGTTATTTATAACTTGTTTGGACCTCTATGAGATTTTAATGGACTTATATTCACCACACCAAACATAAATTGTCAAATTGGTTCTTGATTCCCTGATTACAATGAGTTAATATTTTCAGATTTTAGAGTTTATTATGTATCTAGATCCTCCTTTTTTTAATATTGAAATTCGAAGATCCAAAGGTTAAAATTTAAGATTTTCCGTTCATTGCTAGAGAGATTGGTGATTATATTTTTCGTTGAAAATTATTGTTGACCTTTGGACTTTCTTTTATACCCTTCACCACACTGTGGTACAGACACATGGTTTTGAGAATATGCATAGAATCACTTTTTAAGACGATTTATGGATGTCTGTCCGTCCGCCTGTCTGTCCATGTTAAATTGTAAACAAAGTACAGGTCGCATTTATGATTCGAATTGGATGAAATTTGGCACAGGTCATTTATTTGGCCCAAGGACGAACCCTATTGAAATTGGGAAATAATCAGTTCAGTTTTAGCTATAGCTCCCATATATATTTTCGTCCGATTTAACGGAAATGGTGCGCCAAAGTCCCTATATATCCTTCGATTTACATGAATTTTGGCGTAGTTTCGTGAAAGTCGGCCCAGATTTAGATATAGCTCCGATATATATTTTCGTCAGATTTTATGTAAATGGTGCACCAAAGTCTCTATATATATTTCTATTTGCACGAAATTTGACATAACGTACTGAACTGAACCTGGAGTGATGTCTGCCAAGTTTCGTGAAAATCGGTTGAGATCTAGATATAGCTCCCATATATATTTTTGACCGATTTATGTAAATGGTACCTTTATATCCTTCGATTTGCACAGAATTTGGCATAGTGTACTGAATTAAATATAGAACGATATGTGTTAAATTTCGCGAAACTCGGTTCACATATATATTTTCGTCCGATTTAATGTAAATAGTGCATCAAAGTATCTTTATATCCTTCGATTTGCACAAAATTTGGCATAGCGTACTGAATTGAGTCTAGAATGATGAATAGTGAGTTTCGGGAAAATCGGTTCAGATTTAGATATATCTGCCATATATATTTTCGTCCGATTTTATGTAAATGGTGCACCAAAGTCCCTATATATCTTTCGATATGCACGAAATTTGGCATAGTTTACTGAATTAAGTCTAGAACGATGTGTGTTAAATTTCGTGAAAGTCGGTTCAGATGTATATATAGCTCCCATATATTTTTTGTCCAATTTAATGTAAATAGTGAACCAAATCTTTCGATTTGCAGGAAATTTGGCATGGATACTGAATTAAGTCTAGAATCATGGGTGGTAAGTTTTGGTAAAATCGGTTCAGATTTCGATATAGCCCCCATACATATATATATATATATATATATATTCGTCCGATTTTACATAAATGCTGCACCAAACCCCTAATGTTGGTCTGTTTAACACGAAATTTTACACAACGTATCAAATTGAGACTTGAATGACGTTATTGCGTTTTGTTGAAATTAGTGCAGGTGCAGCCATAGCATCCATATGTGTTTCGAATGAGTGTCTGATTGAAATTAAATTTTTAATAGTTCGGCGTACCGAATAGCGTGACCCCAAGCCGAAAAAAAAGATTATATTTTTCTGTACAAAAAAATTTAAATAATATCCTTCAACATATATGCTAGCAGCTAATTTGTGATATATTATGTTCGCTCTATACAGTTGTATTATCATGAGATAATTAAAATAATAAATAGGGTTGTTCTAGATTCACATAATTTGGGATTAAACTATAGTAAACAAAACAAACAAAAATATACAATAAGCATTTAAATATTCTTGCAGAATTTTATTCAAAAAAAGAAGAAAAAACTTATGGAACATTGTGACTTCTAATAATAATAATGATTATTAAACTAAAAAAAAAACAGAAAAAATGTAAAATGGAATAAAATTTAACATAATTTGTTTAGTAAATACAAATATTTTTTTAAGTATATAAAGTAAATGCGTAAATGTAAAAAGTAAAAAAAAAACAATATAAACGACAGCTTTACAACAACATAATGATATAAGTATTTGTTATGTATACATAAACTATAAATTAAAATTAAACTAGGGATAGGAAGGAATAGAGCAAATTTAGGGGAAACTTTTTCAATAGAAGTTAGAACATAAAAGCAATTTCCAAACAATGTAAATGGAGGAAAATCATATTAATGGAAGCGATAAAGAAAATCTAATCTAATTCTATAATATTAATATTTCCAGAGCTTCTGGTGGTAATTGTTGTGTGTGAGTTGTTTTCCGTTTTCAGTGAATCAACAATTTTAAATAGATTATTCATTTGTATTTTATACATTTTGCCCGTGCGTTGTAAAACTTCACGACGATCTTTTTCCTGAGCCAGTTTCAATTTCAATACATGTGCAGTATTTTGTAGTTTTTTATTGAGTAAAATTGCTATTGGTTTATACAAAAAAAAGAAGAAGAATAACAAAACATAAATAGTTAATAACAATGGAAAAAAGAAAAAAATATACATTTTATTTATTTAAATTTCTGTTTGTATTACAACGTTGAGGATGTCGACGATGTAGCAGAAGAGATGGAGGTAGAACATGACAAACCTTTTTCTAATAATTTATCATTGCTTCTTTTACATGCTGGGCATATTTTCGTTTCACTTAAAATCTCCTTTGGGTCCTGAGTTGTGGGTGCATCTTCTTCACGTTGGCACTGGGGATGATAGTGGGATTTGCATTGTTCACATTGCTCGAGAATGAAGCCACCCTTGAAGCATTCATTACAAGTGCGTTTATCTTCTTGTGGACTACTGGAAGCTGAACGTGATGGTGGTGCGGAATTAACATCGGAAGCATTATCAGCACTACGCCTTTTATTGCGTTTGTTGGGTATGGCTTTCTTAACTTGTGGTGACAATAGAAAAGCTTTGCGTTTCTTTTTCGCCTCGGGTTCGTGGTAATTGGTACCAGAGGCCTGTAAAACAAGAAACAGAGAGATAATTAATCATCAATAAAATGTATTTTGCTGGGACCTCTGTTCTTTCAACTTACCCCATAGTGATAACTGTTATTTTGAACACAACGACGACGACGTTTGGACCGCCTTTGCTGCATATGGGCATACATCTCAGGTGTAAATAAATCAAATATTCTCAAAAACATTTCCTGGCCATATTCTTCAGCCTTGGTTCGAGTTTCTTCCAATTCATCTGGCCAATAGGCATGCGGTGGTGTGGGACCCCTTTCGGGTGTACCTTCTTCCGAGGAAGAAGACACTTCAGGTGATTTGCGTAGCTTAGCAGCTGCGGCTGCTGCAGCGGCGGCAGCAGCAATGGAAGCCTTTGATGGTCTACCCTTGGTAGCAGGTGGTTTGGTCGGAACCACAGCCACGGGTTGAGGTGGTGGCGGTGGTGGTGGAGGTAGTGTTACTGGAGTTGGAGCTGGTGCTGTCACAACTGCTGGTCCGCGAACAGCTGCTTGGGCTCTCTTTAAGGCCTGTCTCAAATTCATACGACTCATTTTTACATTTGTGGACACCGGCTGTTCCTCTTCCTTCTCCTGTCTACGTTGATTGTAAATATCAGCCAATGTGGTAGCCTTTTCAATTTTGGGTTTCACATCGACCACTACTTGTGGTGGCGGCACCACTTCATTGGCTACACGTTGATTCATGGGTTTCAATAGCGAAGTTTGTGATGGACTCGACGATGCACTTGTCACAACCATTTCAAATTTCTTCAATAAACTTTCTCCGCCATTTGTATTGGCACTGCCGCTGCTATTGTTGGGATATTCACGTTTTTGACCCCTCTGCCTTTGCTGTTGGGTCTTGGCAATTTGTTCCAAAATATTGCCATCATCATCTAAATTGATAATTTCCACACATGTTGGTGGTTCCTTATGACGCATTTGTTGCGTTGGAGGAGATGGTGGTGAGGCCATCATTGACATCATTTCTTGTTGTTGCTGTGGTTCTTTTTGAACCTCAAAATATTTCTCAATTAGTTTTTCTTCACTGTTACGATAGGTCACCGTTATGGGTGCTATCTCATTGGTACCACTAATTAGTGGTACAATTTCACTGGAAACCATAGCATTGGTGGCATTGACATCTGTTGGTATGCCATTCTTTTTAAGCATTTTATAGAATTGATCAATAACACGACGTAAACGAAGTAGAAGAAAATTTTGTTCAGCATTGATTTCATAGATTTCCGATTCCAGCTCATCTATAATGCGTTTCTTTTGTTGGGGATCCTGAAAAAGGAAATTATGGGATTAATAGATTTTTTCTTTAGGAAGTCATGAGAAATCATGGTTATGATAAGGTAAAGATAACTATGGAAGTGGCATCGATCTATGAAGGAAATGTGTCTGTTCAAAGCGAACTTATTTCGTGAGGAAATATATTTACAAGATCCTCCAACCAAATAATAATTATCTCTAGTTTAGAAGGAGTTCCCTTACGAAGGTCAAGCATTCATTTTATGTGATTGAAGTACGATTATTAATCTCAACTTGACATGAACAAGAAATATACCGAAGAGCTTGATTTGTTGCCATGCTCTGGATTTCGAACACCTCTGGTCTTGTAACATACACAGAATGTCCCAAAAAGTCTTGACATATTCCAGATCACTGATAATTTGAGGATCTACTTAGTGTCGGACCTACTTTAACGTGTCATATGCATTTATGAATGACATTTTCTTCTAAGAGGGCATAGTTCTAGTTATGAACGCCTACTATAACTGTAAAATAGTGGAAAAAGGTCATTGCCATCTGAGAAGTCTTTGCAAATTCCAGGTTGCTGTAATTTGAAGATCTACTTAGACTCAGATCTACTTTGATATACAACATACATTTATGATACCCCCTCTTCTAACGGGGTATAGTTCGTGGGTAACGTCTTCTAAAACTGTTAAGAAATCCATTAGTCTAAGTTGCCCTTAAGCGAAATGTCACAGAAGTGTCAAGCAAATACAACTCAACCATTACCCTCAATTTGTATAAAAATACAACCCTCCCTCCTCCAACAACAGGTATAAATAATTAAGATTATGATATTTAATGATAATTATCGTTTGTTTAGGGAAATGATAATTAAGATAATGGTATATTGGTTGTTTATTTTAAAAAACGTGATTGGAACATATGTACATAAGTAGTGTGTATGTATGTTGATTGGTTATAGATTAAATGATCTACACAAAGAAAGTATATACATACATTTTATAATGTATATAATATATTCATAATATATATGTGCATATATTATATATTCTTCACAAGCAGCATACGCACACACACACAGACAAACGTTCGTTCATATATAACAACTAAACGAGACTGAGAGGAAAACACCACACCAAACCGTAGGGAACAACAATAACAAATTAACGACCTTAAATAAATAAATGGCAAAAATAAAACTCTCGCGCACACACACAGGTATACATGAACATATACTACATATCAGTACATGATAAACAATAAACCAAAGAGCGTATAACATAATAATTGCAACAACAATTAAATACTGTGTGTATGTGTTGATATTTAGGTGAGAAAATAAAAATTAGCATCAGCTACAAAATGGCGATCTATTGAAAACTGCAACAAAAACAACAATTTCGTGAAATCACACGAAAAGGACTAAGGTGGCCGAAAATATCCATACAAGGAAAATATAACCTAACATTTTGGGTTGGTTTTTGACGATCTTCCTTTGACCATCAAATGGAAAACAAAACTATGTATGTATCCCCATGTCACCTAAATGTTGTTGTTATACATACATATATGTATGTAAACTTATCCAATTGATTGTAACCACTTACGCTCGCTCGCACAAACTGATATTCTTTTTTGCTTTTTTTTGGGAGGGGGAGACAAAAATATCTGTTAGTTGCAAAATACAAAACAGAAAACCGAATTGGTCAATCTCTTTAGTATAATGAGTCATATTTGCTTCATTTAAACTAAAATACTACATGATTGAAATGATGTGTAGGTGTTTTAAATACAATTTATATATAAAGTGTAATAACTGTTTAACTAAACGTAACAACAACGACAGGGCGAAGTTAAACGTGTACACCATTACTTTCATATATGCAAGAAAACCTCCAATGGAATTCAAAGGTGTTGTGCTTAACCTTGGCGGCTAGCGCTATTGGCAAATTATTTAACCGGTTTACATAAAATTTGTCACAATGTTAGAATCCAAATTCTGACAAATTTGGAATGGGAAGATTGGATTTGAAATAAATAGATATTTTAGTAGAATAATTTATCTATTTGCGTCTGTCTGTTGCCATCACTATAGAGTTGCGATTGTTTTAATTGCAATTCTTAAGCAGAAAATTGACAAAATGTTTTGAGCATTGGAAAGATTTTATAGATTATGTAGCGATATTCTGAATTTAAATGCTCTATAATAGATAATGAAACAATAAATTCTATGGAAAACATCGAAAAAGGGTACAGTTCCGTAAAAACGTGTACTTCCATAATTTCTATTATCATCAAGATTGTATCTATCTACTTGAAAAAAAAAACATCTTCAAATCAAGATTTGTTTTGTCAACAAATGCTAAAAATAGATTTGATTTCGATTTTGTAAAATGTGTATAAACAGCACACCTAATATTGGTATACTTAAAGTAATGTCATATTTAAAAGACAGCTGCACACAACTTGTCTTGTTTTTTAAATGGGGGAGAAGAGAGAGGAGTCGGGTTCATCCATTGATGTAAAGCAAAAGTCGAGATTCAAAAAGCAAATTCTAATTAGAAAACATTAATGTCTTTGTTTTTCTATATGATATATGAGATGAGGAATATTGGAAATCCCTTGTTGTTTGGCAGCTGTGCACACGTGTTTTTCATTTACAAGACGACACAGTTGTATTTAATTGAACGTCTTGTCATAGGTAAACATTTCCAAAAAATGATCCATGTTCGAAATGAAACTGACGGTAAACATTTTATTGGAGTGGAAAATAAATATCAGGGAATCAAGGGATTGACTGTACCAAATTTTGGAACAGATATATGCTAAGATATTTCTAAGATTTAATATTGGACTCCATGATTCAAAAAAGAAAACATAGGAAAAAATTATTGCTACAAATCGATTGACAATCAAAACCACGTGTTAGAAATCCTGGATGTTGTTAGGCCATTTATGTTCATCACTATGGTTTCGTTGACAAAACACGACTTTGAATTGTATACATTTTGATTTATTTTGGGTATGAAAAAATGGAAAAAAGTCTTCTTATGGTATTTGTATCAGCACATGGTAGAATAATTATAATTATTACATGGTATCACCAATTCAAAGACATAGTGCATTAGGATCTAACATTATTAGGCCAAAGATATTGCTGCAGATCACAAACTCATTCAGAACCTTTTCCCTTCGAAAAACTTTCGGGAATAGTTATTTTTAAATCTTAAATATTATAGATATCGCTCAATTGCTGCAAAATTGAACGTGATTTTCGAGTTAATGATGCACGATTATTGTAAAAATTCATATGAATATTCTTACACACTCTAATTGAGAAGCTGTCGAAGTTCATCTGTCCCATATAAAGTTAAAACGTATTTTCTACAAAATCACTTTTTTGAGTTATGCCTGTCTTGCAGCAAATGAGCGATATATTCTTTACTGGAACGTTATATGACATTTCTCCGAGTTGTGTGGTTTCTATACAACCGAGCATTTTTATACTAAACCTATCGTACTATCCGATCTCTTGTGATGTTATATGCCAGGAATGTGAAAGTGATTACGTGGCACCAAAGTTAACCAATTTTGAATTAAAAAAACTGTAGCAAAAGATTTTCCATAGATTCGATGATCGAATAATGTTGAAATATATCCCACGTGGCAGTAATACAAATGTAAATATAATTGTGTCCACTTAATGCATTCTGTTGTGTTAACAGACCTTCCTTCATCTAATTCGATTACATTTATTTAAAGGTGGTAATAAATGCGGTAATAAATGTCGACTATAAAGCCGCATTCGAAAGTAATATCCACTCAAAGGTGTTTAGAGTCATGTCTGTGTTCGGTATACCTGCAAAATTAATACCGCTATGCAGGACAAATATAACTGGAATAAAGTCAGCAGCTTAAATCGGAAAGGACCTCCCTGAGCTGAAATCTCCGCTGGGGAAAAATCTCAGAAAAATCAATGGACTGATCTGCGTCAAATGAACCACGAGTTATACCACAAATATACGGACATCGACTTCGACGTATCAAACTGTACCGACTACGGTGGCTAGGTCATGTTGTTACAATGGTTAAGGACGCCACAGCTCAAAAGGCATATAAAAAACCAGAAGGGTCTTCCAAATTGGAAAAACAGGGCGCAATATCGGCCCGCCTGGAAATCTTTTTTAAGTTTGGCTTATGGAACAAATGTTCTGTCTCAACCCAGCGAAATATGTAGGTAAAGAGAATGGGGGGCCACCAGAATGGGTAGCATAGCCTCTAAATGAGCACTGGACAAAAAGGGCCTTTAATGCAGTCATTAGCTATGAGATTAGATATGCGTTAAGCACGTGTTAGGCTCCTGACCTCCAATTTGTACTGGTATTAATTAGTTAAACCAAGAATTATGGAATGCTAATTTTGTTAGTTTCTTTATTTATTCTGTTTTTAACTAGGTATCAAAAATAAACAGAATTGTTCATTCTTTGATTTGTTTGCTTTCCAAAACAACTGTACGCATTGATCATTACGTCACCATGAAACTAGAAATAAGACAAAATGTCTACATGTTGAAATGAAGAACCATTTTTAAAAATTTTCCTAATAAAATATTTTTCTAAGAAATACTTGGAACTTCCCCAAATCGAGTATGAAAATATTCAAAATGGTGATATCCGTTTCCACGACAGTGGGGTCTATGAGCCGAAACAATCGGCGCACTCAGATTATGCTATGTGGCACATAGCAATATCAATATCTTTCCACCGATAATAAAAGAAATTACAATATTATTGAGTTCATAAAAAATTGTCGCAAATTTTTTATTTGTTCTGTGAAAATATGTACAGATCTTGAGATACCCCAGAGGCCGATCATCATGTTAATATTTAAGTAAATTATAAAATGGCCGAATTCAGAGTTGTTGTGCATTTGGTATAGATACACAATCTATCGAACTCAAGCAAAATTTCCGAAAAATCGCATTGCCCTTAACATTTCTATTAACTCCCGGAAGCAGTACAATTCCACCTCTATTACTTCATATTTTTTATATAGTAAAGGGCCAAAAACTATTCCAATTTAAGCAAATTGATAAAAGACACAATTTTGCTTTGGATATCGAACATGTAAAGTGTAATCGATGGACAGGGAGTACCCGTCAATTCAATAAAATGGTGACACATGCCACGAAAAATTTGCGACAATAAAAGGGAAAATCCCTCAATGATATTCAATTCCTAAACATAAAACAAATTTCCCCCCAATAATTTTGTAATGTAATTTAAGTTTCTTCAAATAATAAAAAAAGATTGATTTGATTTACTGATTGCTGTTTTAACGCCATTTTACACACACATCAACGACAACGTTCAGCAAGTAGTTGTTTGTTGTTTTTGGTTTGGCACTTGAGCGCCATCTATCACCATCAGCCGTTTTGCCAGAGCCAGAGAAAAGAGAAATGTCATTTTTTGACATTAGATTTGATTGCTTGCTCTGCTCTGCTGAGTAAAACAGCAGAGCGATATGAAACAACAAAAAATTCTATGGCCAGATGATATTCTTCAAAAAAGTATTTTTTGGGAAAAAATTTACAATTATTTCGATCGTTTTTTTACAAATAAATGAAAGAAATGAAATTCTTGGTTTTATTGTTTGCCAATATGTGACCAGACTGACATACATGGCTAAACAGTATTACCTAACAACATTTGCTAATTTGTTAATTCATGGACAAATATTTAATGCCACGATTTTATTCATGGTAATATGGTCAACGAAAAAAGAAAAACCATTGTTAATCCTTGGAAATTGAAAAAAAAAACAGATAATTATCTTCATTGCCTTTATAGGGAATGACATTAGTTTTCCTTGTTGTTGTTTTTAGTTAATCCTAATGCTAAGGATTTCCACTGTGCAAGGGGATTTTTCTAGGATTTTTTCCTTGGAAACCATCATTTGGTATATGTTTTCCGAAAAATTTATTTAAACTCCCCCTATTTTATTAAAATATAATATATTTCCCCCAAAATAATGATGCCTACGTCACATACTTTAGTCTCAACATCTTTCAATGCGATGTTTGTGTGTATGTATGTATATACATATTAAAAATATATATGTAGTACATAGGGTTTATCAATTTAATTGATGGAATTGAAATTTACGCATATTTTTGTAGGTATTTTAATGAAAATATTATTATGGGATGTAACACACCCTACTACTTTGCTTGGTTTTTTGTTTTGCAAAATTGGAATTCATTACAAACGACAACAAAAACACGTTGTTCATGTGACGTCTCTGGTGCTGCGTAAAAAATGAAAAAAAAACTTTGAACGTTATTTCTATTAAGGCAAGAATTTTCATTGTTGTTCCCAATATAGTAAATAGGAAATTCACGTACAATGTCCTGTTTTAAATATAAAAGGATTTGCATAGCAAATAATAGTTTGTACAAATAAAAGTGAAAGTTCTGAACATAATTTTGTCTAAGTAAACCACCATCCAACCAACTCAAACACCTAACAAGACCATAATGATAAAGTAGCACAACATTACCTCAATCACAAAAGAAAATAAAAAAACGTGTGCAAAACGTAAAATAAAAATATTCACATTAAACCACACCATTGGATTCTCTTGGATCCTATATAAGGATAACATCTTTAGTTAGTTGTATCCTTAAAATTATTTTCCTTACACCATTATCCTTTGTTATCCTTTTTGTATACAAATAAATGATAATAATTATGATTACTACTTACTGCATCGGGTTGCTGTTGAAACACATCCAAGACCATCTGATGATTAAGGCCAGCGAGCAAAATGATGATGAAACAAAAAACAGAAAAAAATAAAACAAAAGACAAATTAGTTTTTTAATAAATCAATAATCGAACTTATTTCTCGCACAGAGCGAGAAAAAATGGCAATTACAAAATAAATGACAAAGAACTGATTTTTTATTCAAACAATGGCCATCCCATCCATACGTCCAACCAACCTGTGCGTAGATGACTGCCTGGCTACTACTAACAAAAAAATTTACACATCCATACATACTAAGTACTTTTGCCATTTTGTTACAATTTTTTCCCCGCAACACGCTCTTACTCACCTGATGAACCTTGATGTGAGCCTTCAGTGCTCGTTGGCAATAGATTATATCATTTTTAATATCTTTGGGAATTTTGAAAAAACTCTCCATGTAGAATTGGAACAAACGGGATCCAGTCAAATCTCGCGAAGCGGCTGCCAATACAATGTCACTATCGCCGCCAGCGCCACCGCCGCCACTGGAATTAGCCACAAATGGAACTGCTGTCGACATGTTTGCTAATTTTTATTTTCTATTTTTTTGGTATTGTAGACGACCAACGACGACTCTGTATTTCTCTTCTTAAGCTTGCTGCTTGTGTTATCTGCTTTATATTTTAAAAATAAATATCTTCGTCGTCGTCGTTTTGTTGTGCTTTATATCTTGTCTTTAGCCAGCAATCACTTGACACTCAAATAACTATTCATTGGCTAATTATGTTGTTGTTGCTTTATTATCGTATTGAAGAACAACTACTGCAAGGATACTACTTCAAAATCCGAAATTCTACAGATTTACTCCTCTTTGAAATTTAAAAGACGTTGTTGATTGCTCCACAAAATCCAATCGAATGGAGTCAACAAGCAAAAAACAAAAATGTTCTGCTGCTGCTGTTGGTTTTTTCAAACGTACATTCCCCAAATCTCTCTGTCTCGTGTTATACACTCCCTCTCTTCTGGCGTTTGTGTCTCTCAGTCGACAAACCAACGACCAACCAATTCATTCATTGACTTTTGACAGTTTGTGCGCGCCTTTGTTGCTGCATAAATAACTTTGAATTTTCACCAATCTCACACCTGCAGCAGAATATTACACTTTCTTTAGATTTGAATAATGGAATTTCTAATAAAACATCACAGCAATAGGCCCAGAGTTATATTTGAATTATTATATTTGAATTCATTCACAATTTGGAATCAAACACTTGCTTTAAGAATTTTTAAATTGCGTCTGCTTCATTTTTCGGTTTGTAACGACGTTGTTTGCATTGTTTTTTTTCTGTTTGCTAATGACAGCTGATGCGATGCTGTGCTCACATACATCCGTACAAGGTAAATATTTTTAAAATCACTAAAGTGGGATAATTTTCCCCTAATTGTCGAAACAATTTCAAATTAATTATTCATTATGGTAATTCAATGAAATTCTTTATTATAACTTCACTCCAACACCTTTTATTTCTAATTAAACACACTTTGTACTTTGGGAATGCATTAGGGTTATATACGTCGAATTTTGTCGAATCCCCTAATCGACAATTTTTTTTAGTCAAACACGATTTCTCGGTTGTTGTAAAATCGAATAATCGATATTTTTAAAGAGGATTTCCAAGGGAAATTTACTTTGAATTTATTATTATTTTAATATAAGTTTATTTTTAATTAATAATATAAAAAAATATATTGAATTTCGACTAGTAATATAATTATATTAATAAGGACATGTTAAAATAACGTATGCCATAATGGCAAAACAGCTGACATCATCAAAGAACCAATCATAATAAAAAACGTTCCACGTTTAAAATGGCTGCTTTAAAAAATCATATGGCAATCTGATTAGTGGGACAAGTAACGTGACATGTGCAAAAGATGTAGGTGCTTATGTAAATTTTGCACGTAGATGTTTGGGCTACAAAGTATTTTAATTAAAATCAAAATTATTATATTTAAAAATGTAACTGTACTATTTTTAGATCTGAAAATAAAAACACAAAGCTGTAAACTTAACTTTACATAAAATCGCATCTTCAATTTTCATAACTCGAAAAAGTCCTACGTGATGTAACACATGTATATCTTGAACGTCTATTATATTAAATATGTAAAAAGTACAAATAAATACACACATTTGGGAGAAAATAATGACATTAGGATACTTATAAATCAAAAATTTTCCTTTCAAAAGTTATTTGGTCTTCAGGTTTTTTTTCATGGACTTAGCGAGGTTTTGTAGCAATAGACGACTAGGGACATAAGGACTGCGTAGTATTATGACTAATAGAAATGATGCTACAGACGACTCCGGGGGAGATAGCATCTATGCTTGAAATACTTCTTCCTCTGAAAAAATATACAGGTCGAAGTAAATCCATTGTTTCAAATAACGCTTAGTCGGCGTTTACAACTTGCAAAAGAAAAGACACACATACGTGTTGTAACACATGTTTATCATGGACGTCTATTATATTAAGTAAATTAAAAAGTAAACATAAATGTACCTAATTTGGAGTAAAAGTATTTGGATTGAGATACTTTTAAATCACACTTTTCATATACAAATTAGATTGACCCTTTATCTTTTATTCTAATAAAATAATATTTAAGCTTGTATTTCCATGACTGTTACTTATATTTTAGACACATTACTGATATATGATTGGAAATTATTAGTCTGTTCCCGTACTGCAAGAATCTACTAGATTTTACTATTTTCTTCGATATGAAAAAATTATCGTAGTAAAAAGTAGTAGATTCTTGCAGTAAGGGAACAGACCATATGTTTGAATCTAGGTCAGAGATTCAAAAAAACTTCAAATTCTATGTTAAATAAATGATATTCACTTTTGGCTATATGTACCACGGACAATATTTAGTAGATCTTTAAATAATAACATAAATTTTTACATACATTGCTTTATAACAAAATGGTGTATAGTTTGTTGTTGTATCACGTGTATCGTATCATGGGCTTCATAATGCCCTACGTGATGTAGGACATGTTTCCTTAAACATGTATGTAATATGTAAGCGATATACGCAATGTAACCATGCTTAAATTTATGATCACAGATGAATTTTTCTTCCAGATCACACTGTAATAATATTGGGATTCAGCACGTGATATCCCAAGTGCGGGCTCAGGGTGAGCAGAACTTATCAACGATTTCGAAGTGAAGCGATCAGAAATATCTGGCAGCTGGACATTCTATAACCTAACCTAGAATTGTATTTTTCCAAATGAGAAGATAGTAAAGGCGACTACTGTCGTCTATGTAAAGACGAGGGGAAATAAATGCCTTCTAATTTATTTCAAAGTAAAACTTTCGATAGAGATTCGGCAAAGTTTTGACGGAAGTAAAGGCTGGAACATAAGCAATGCGTTGTATTACGACTAAAGTTGCTACAAACATTTTCCGACACGTATAGCCTGCAGCAGATAGTGTCTCATCTTACATTTATAAGATAGTTTTGAATGTAAATACTTGTTGTGATTGGTTCCAAGTTTTTTTTTTTTTTTTGAAAACTAAATTTTATCGGATTTAATCCTAGAAAACTGCTTGTGGCAAAGGAATCTGGTAATTTTAGAATATTTCCATAACATTATCCGTTTGGGGTCCAATTTATAGTTAATTATGGTAAATTTGTCTTATTTACACGCCCTTGTCGCACATGAACTCAGTGCCACGTTTACAAGTCGCATTTATTGAAGTGCTCATATACATATTAAACACTTGGTCGATGTAAATAATTGAAGTTTCTACACAGTACAATTTTTGAGATTGAAAAATTATACAATATCAATATATATATACAATATCAATATATATATACAATATCAATAAATAATAAGACTGCGTTTTTTCTTCTAATATTTGTTTATCGATATAGATTATGTTTGTAAAAAGTGAGGATTTTCCTTATAATTGTTAGAAAATTATGTATATTATAGAGATTTTGTTGCGTTACGATTATTTATACTATTTTATTTGATAGATACACATTTTGTAGTTAAGGTTAAATGTGAATGCAATTACATATATTAGACGGATGGTTACATCCCTTCCCTTAAGCCTGTTGTGTGCTCTGAAAAGGAAAGATATTTTATGTGTGTTTTACTCCTCCCCCAACTAGTAGTTCCTATTTACAATAGACAATGTATCCATGTGTAGACAATGTCTACAAATAGGTGTGTCTGGTTACTTTCCCTGCAGGAATTGTCCAGTAACTTCTTTCTGAGAGAGTAAGGTAGTTTTATTCTCTTTTGCAAGAAAAATGCGAAAAGTAAACAGACGGCATCCCTGCAGAAGCTTGCAACTAATCAGCTGATTTGTCAAAACAAACCAATTTGTCCGCCATTATAAAGAATTAAAAGAAAGAAAACACAACCAGTTTAACAAGTTTTTGAAATAAAAATGCTGGAAATAGTCTTTTATTTTCCTATTACATATTAATACTTACGTTTTTCTCGTTTTGTAAAGTTTTTCTCCAAAAACAATTAGTCTTGCTAATTCCAAAAAAAATTATTTTCAAATTGAAAGCACAAAAATAAATAAACAAACAATAGAAAACATCTGATTGAATGTCGATGTATGAGAAGAAGAAGAGTTGCAAGAGATTGCAAGAAGAAATTTTTCCAGCAAGAATTTGCAAACTCTCACTGAAAGAACTGTCAAAATTTCTCTCTCCAACCGCTCTCTTTTGCAGAACTTTTGGGTTAACAGACGACTTCCAGTAACAATTTGTAACAATTGTTACAAACTTTAGGGTAACCAGACACACCTAATGTCTGTAAATCATTTTAGTAGTTTAATGTAAAAAATGTAGTCCAGCTTCAATAAGTTGATATTAGTATGTGTAGGCCCGCTGAGCCTTGGTAGGTTACTGAATCTTCTTCTGCGAAGAATTTCGTATAAATTCTTGTTAGGTTTCTGTATGAACAATTGATAATATTATGCAACACCTACTTTGTTTTGTGATTTTTGGGGTCTACTGGGTTTATATTTGAAGTCGTTTACGAAACATTTTATGCAGATAATATATTTACTATTCTAGACCTTGTACTTCTAATGCAATGGTGTTAAGTCAGATGTAATGTATTTCTTAACGGAACATTAGATCAGATGCCCGTTGGTAAATGTTGCTATACAGATGGCTCTCGTCTAGGAGGAAATTTTGGACTGGGATTTTTATTGAAGAACCAGGTACCGAAATTTCTCTTCGTATACAGATCTCAGCACGATCCTACAGGCGGAGGGTCAAGCTATAACAGAGTGTCTTAACTGGTTATGTTCAAACCTAGAACGGACAGCAAACAGGCTATAAATGCAATATCCTCCAAAACAGTTAAATCCAAAACTGTTCTGTAGAATGAGACCCACAAAATTCTTTGGGATAATCAGGGAACAAGAAATATCACAAAATTGTATGGCTTGACCCAAATGAAGACAAAGCTAAGCAAATTTTAACGCTAAACAAAAAAGAAACTAGCAGACTGACGGGACACCTCCGCCTGAAGGCACATCT